AGGATAGATAACGACAACTTATGTTCGGAAGGAAAGGAGTAAACGACACCAGAACACCCGCCAACCACCTACACCGTGACTGAAAGAGAGAGTGTCTTGAGACGGCGTGCTGTTACATTGTGGTAGGTTTACATTCTTTATTGCTTTTTTGAAACCACGTGAACTTAGATCAATTATGCCCTATCGTGTGTTAGACATCAATGTCTCTAAATCTCCTACACTTTCTTTTCTCTCCAATGTAAATGTTTTTCCAAATCTTCAAAAGCGCCCCGATGGACATCCAGTCAACGGGACAGGTGAAGGTGAAGGTGACGGTAAATGGTTTTTTACACCCTCAAGGACACAACTTAGATGATTTAGGAGCTGGGCTTCGACATTGCCTGTCACTACCAGCCTGGGATGGGAGTAAAACCGAGATATTCCATAAAAATGTGTCTGTTGCCTAGCGGTTAGGCATTTCGCTGTAGCAAGCAGGAGAGCTGAATTCGATTCTTGTGGTTTGGGGGGGGGGGGATTTTCATCGAGTATCTCCTTCTTTCTGCAGGGACGTTCTATCCTTCTCAACCTGGGTTGATTTTGACAGACAGCGTCGAGCCCACCTGTAAAATGATCTAAACTGAGTCGATAGGGGTGTGAAAGCATATGCATCTACCCCCCATCCCCCCGTCTAAAAAACACCGCTTTCGTCCTGAGACAAGCCGTAAGTCGTAAGCCGTGAACAAAGTCAACACAACCTGTCCTGGTTGTGGCGCGCAACGAACACATAGATTTGATTATAATAATATGCAAAGTAGGGGCTCAACAACTGACGATAATATGCACGATCAACAGTTGTTCTTGTTTGCAGAAAGGGGCTCAACACACATGCGCACACGGTCAGACACCGGGACGGTATATTTTACGGCCCAATCGACTCAAGTTGGTGCACTGCTTCGACTCGACCTGTCAGGACCCACAGTACGCTACCCTAGAATTAGAAAGTTCTATCTGCTCAGTACCTAGTTTTGAGAAGTTTGATGTTAAAAATATTGAGTTTACAACATGACAAGCTTTTTCGATGTAGTTCTTTGCATACATGTATCTTGATAACGATTCCGAATTTTCAGACAGTTTTGATAGAGCAGATATAGAACAGTTGGTTTCTAACCTCGTGGTCTTACAGAGTAATTCATAATGGCAAAAATGTCAGATTGAACTTTGTAATTCTAAGGTGGCAACTAGGGTGAGAGGGATACAGTATCCCAACACAAGGACCAGGATACTCCATGACAAAGACTGCGCAGCGCCGTGTATCCGTTAAATTAGGTCATACTCTTATCTTTTGTGTTAACTTTAAGTACACGGCGCGCCAGTTCAGCCGGTCCACAACATCACTCTGTTGTTTACAATCATAACAATGAATACCCAACAAACCCCAGAAAATTAAGCAAATAGTCTGACTTCAATTCAGTTTAGCTTTTAAGTTATGTAAACAAGTTTGATATGAGCTGAGATTTACACGTTTTTAATGTTGAAAACTTGGATGATAAAACTGGTCACTTACAGAGCAGGAGTAGCCTCCCGTATACTAAGTATGGGGTTAAATTTTGTCATTAACAACCACTATTACAGCTGATGATGCTATATAGTATTTCGACACCCAGACAGATATGAACATAGATGGAAAAGACCTCCAATTCCTCCGGAACCTTTTGTGGGGAACAGCAGGCAGTTCCCGGGGCAGAAATGGAACAAAGGGAATACAGGCAGTCAGCAGAGGAGTACGACCAGTATGGCATTGTGCCTTATATACGGACCTCTTAAATATATTTATCCAAATGATACTGCGGAGTCAAGGTAGGCGGCCAAATAAATATGACCACGTTACGGTAGGCGGAGTCCAGTCTCCAGGAGATTTTAACTCGAGTGACAGAGGAAAGGAAAGAGGAGAGGCTACTACTGATTGCCAAGAAAACGGAATGCATTGTGATCTAAAAAAAAAAGCCGATATCCCAGAAAGCCTAATCATAATTATGTAAGAACGAAAGAGTGAAACATGTCAATAGGTTGAAATACCCTGGTTGCACAATTACACCACATGCAACAAATGGGACAAAAATAAAAGAGAGAGGATTGCAATATCGATAGAAATGTTCAACTTGATGAAACCTGTCATCTCAAACAGAAACATAATTGTCAATAACATAAAAGAACTCTAAAAGCGTACATGTGGCCAATCCTTTAGTGTGGATGAGACAGCTAGGCTCTAAACAAGGACACATAGAGACGACTGGAAGCCACTGATATGCCGATATGTGGTATTTAAGGAGAATACTCAGAAACTTATGAGCAGAAAGGAAAACAAGTGGAGAAGCTTTTAAAAACCTAGGTGGTGAAAGTTATCAGTACCATCTGAGAGAGACAATTGAGATTCACTGCCTACATGAATAGATCAAATTGTCTGAAGAAACTGCTGCTGCTATGTCGAAAGATAGAGGGAAAGAAAAGCGGAGGAAGACAAAGAGAGAAAACAAACACTAATGGCGTGAATAACTTTACAACAAAGGTCACATTGAGAAAAACAAATCTGATCAGGAGGACAGACAACAGGAAGTAGTGGGGCAGACCTGACACCTGGAGAAGAAGAAGAAGAAGAAGAAGAAGAAGAAGAAGAAGAAGAAGAAGAAGAAG